CAGACAGTTTAGGTGCTGTCTCAAAACTGACCCGGCAAACCATCATCATTAATGTAAACCAAACATCGCCATGGGAAAGGAGGGGCTATTTTTTCAGTCTGTTGGCTCAAGGGCTCAAAGCACACGTGGCTGATATTTCCATGTCAAGTTTGATTTTCTCTGTATTGTTCTCACAGTTGTCCCTGTGATGAGATTTGAATATCATTTTCTGTTAGGGTTGCCATGGTGACTGAAGCAGGGTCTCTGCATGTGCCAGTTGCCATGCAGTGGTTTGTTAGAAAAGAAGTACAAAGCCACTGCATGCTATATCTAAAAGTTAGTTTGCCTCCTATTTTCAGGATTTACTCGTTTGGCCTACACGCTCATTTCATGGCCTCTCGATTTGTCTTGTGCTTGTAGGTTTTACTCTACTGACCTCATCTCTGTTGTCAGAGAAACGGCGCTCGTGTCTCTTGCCCTCCCGGCGCAGGTGGGCATGACTCACAAATGGACTTTCTTCCTACACAAACTCACACACGGTTGCATTTACTGAAAAAGTGTGTGGTGAATCACAGATATTCTCACAGGTGCATTAATGACGATGCATTTACTACTGCGCACACACACACACAAAAGCACAAAAAGCTGTGTGGGTCTATTGATTGAGACGTCATGATCTGTATTGATTGAGATGTCAGGCAGCTCAGTGGTTGAATTTTTTCAGCTGGCTGTGTTGAACAGTAATGAGATGAACATAATGAGAAACAGGTTTATAACCTCTCCTTTATTTTGCAGGCTGTTATAATAGATGGATAATAATTTGCCCCTGGTTGTGAATTGCATTGAGATGTGATGCAGTTTGATAGGAGAAATTTAAAAAAAAAAATAATTGTACTGAATGTAGTGTACTTCAAATCTTAAAAGTACACTACCAGTCAAAAGATTACTTTTTGAAAAGTAAGATTTAAAAATTTGTTTTAAAGAATTTTCTTCTGCTCACCAAGCCGGCATTTATTTGATTTTAAAATATATTCAAATAGAAAGCATTTTTTTAAATAGTAAAAATATTTCACAATATTATTACTTCTGCTGTATTTTGGATCAAATAAATGCAGGCTTGGTGAGCAGAAGAGAATTCTTTAAAAAACATTAAAAATCCTACTGTTCAAAAACTTTGGTAGTGTAGTGTACTTGCAGATAATGTAACATTAATGAAATAAAATGCCACTTACTGTAAGTGTACTTAGAGAGAGTAACATTTCTTCACTGTTTCTTAATTAAGTAAACTTATAAAGTGCACACTGTAATAATAATCACAAATAATAAAATTTTACTTTAAAGTACTTTTACCTTTTATTATAAATGATTTACCATATTACATTTACCATAAATGTTTGACAGCACATTCAGAAATACACGTTAAATATTTCAATAGAAGTAATTATGAAATTACATGTAAAGATGTACTTACGTCTCACTTAAGTGGGTAAAAAAAGCCCTGTAAATCTGCAAAATGTACCATTTTCATTTAATTGCAATTAACATGCAGTTAAATGTCCAAAACATTACATTCAGTTCGCACTGAAGTATAGATTTTTTTTAAATATATTATTTTCATGATAAGTTAAAAGTGTTAAAAATTACACTTTTTAAAAAACTGTATTTGACCACACAAAAAGTGACAACTGTTTAGTCAATTCGACCCTTTTGCTCTGATGCGTTTTTATATATATTTTTAAATTATTACTATTATTAATTTATTATTTAATTAATAATTAGTTAGTTAATTCATTTTTTGAGAAATTATAGCCATCTTTCAAAGTCATGTGAATGTGTTTGTGCCTTATATTAGGCAGAAGTGCTGTTTTTTTTCTTTTTTACTTGGCTGTTTACTTGTTGTGATATAAATTTAGATTTGATATTCACTTAGACTTACTCCTAGCCTACAAAATCAGTACTGACAAGTTAAAAAGCATTGATCAAAAGCTGTTTAGGTTTGGTTTCTACTTGAGAAATGGCTCGATTTGATCGAGCGCTTATGAAAGACAGTCAGCTCTTAATGAAAAGATTACGGAAAGGGATCAATGCTGCTCACTGTATGCCGGCCAGTGTGCTTGTGTTGGCGAGACTTTTAGATTAGCATGTGATTCAGACTTCCTCTCACCCAAGGGGGCTCAAATCTCATTTCACATACTTTATTGACTCAATATGTCTTGTGCGGTGGGATGCGGTTCCGTCACAGTACCCCAAGGACAAGATGAGAGAGTGACAATTTTGACACCTTGACAATCACAAACAGAAAAGCACACACACATTCATAGACACTTATCTCTTGAGAGAAATGTGTCCGTGTCCATTTGCATTCAGCAGTGTTTCCTGAGACTGTGAAAGCGTTGGCTCATGTCAAACGCCTGAACACAGGGGAATAATGCTAGAATTTTAATGACAGGTCATATAAATTTCAGCCTGTGTGATTTATTATTTTTAGAGATAAACCATTTATGTATTACAACTAAAGTGTTTAATTTTCATTTTCAAAAAATGGTCTTTTAATGGTTGGGCAAACAGACATTCAGTGCCGGACCGTATGGTTGTGGAGCCCTAGGCAAGATCATGTAAATGGGCCCCACTGGTGTAAAAACTGTCGGAGCAATTTGACGAATGAAGAGAAAGCACATAAAATGACAATTTCAATATTTAAGCGTATAAATGTTTATTATGTGTAACGTTCAACATACATGTAAAACTATTTAAACAGATTTAAAAAAAAAAAAAAAGTGCAAGCGTGCTTGAAAAATGAAAGTAAATAGATATACATGAAACACAGATATGTAAAATAAAAATGAATTATTCATTAAAACTAAATAAAATAGATCATAAACAAAATAAAAATACAAATATGCATAAGTGACTAGAAATGCAAGCTTTTCTGCTTGTTTTAAGGCCTGTTTGATGATCACAAAAATGTATTGCATTAGACATTGGATGGTGGGTTAAATCCAGATTTGGAAAGAGGGGTAGACCCTTTTTTTTTTTTAGCTGGGAGGATGGGTTGGATAGATAATTATTCAGGTGCTATAGTTGTGTAACGAAGGAGGCGTAGTGACAATGGAGTTGAGGATCCAAATGCAGGCTTTATTCGTAAACGTGGTCAGACAGGCAGGGTCCAGTACCAGCAAACAATAATATCCCAGGCAAAGACAAAGAGTAATCCATAAACAGGCAATGGTCAGGGCAGGCAGCAAAACAATCATAAAAACCAGATAAACAGTCCAAGATCCAAAATACACAAAGGCAAGGCAAAACAAGGAAACACGGGCAGGAACACAGAAACTAGGAATCATTACAGGCTAAACAATCACCAGCAAAGTGTTCGAGTGTGTGTGCATCCTTTAAAGTCCTTCTAATGTGAGACAGCTGTGAACTGATGATGAGATCTAATGAGAGACAGGTGATGCAATAGATGATGAGTCCGGCAAAGGATTATGGGGAATGTAGTCCAGGGTGAATGGCAAAAGTCAGGGATGGAGTGCCCACTGGTGGAGCTCACGGGCACTCCAGTTGGTGATCGTGACAAGTTGAAGTTGAAAACCTCATTACAACTTCACCCTCAGTTGACGCTGTAATAAAGTTTCATTGCAGATTTGGCTATCCAGCGCGTATTTGTGTTTGCACTTTGGAGTGCATCAAAGGTTTATTTTTACAATGTGTTTTGCAGCGTTGAGCAATGTAGCCAATCACAGACATATCTGTTGATTTCAGAGGTGTGCAAGTTAGAATCCACACTCAAAACGGCAGAGTTTTTGTTCAATGTTGAGGCACGGTCACAAATCCTCTCATTATAACAAAGTGTAGAAGCGATGTAAATAAGAGATTCATTGTGCTGTGTAGAGAGCTTCATTTATTGTTCAATGTTGAGGCACGGTCACAAATCCTCTCATTATAACAAAGTGTAGAAGCGTTGTAAATAAGAGATTCATTGTGCTGTGTAGAGAGCTTCATTTATTATAATGTATATGAGTGAATAAAATGAGTGACCGCTTTTTAGTGATTATAAAGGAGCCCTCTTTGCACCATAGCACTGAACGGCACAAAAATATTATGGTTAGGCCTATATATATGATATTAAGGTTAGAGCACCCTCGCTAATTTCCGAAGCAACCTCAGTGATTTGATTCTGGAGCCAGGTCAATTATTTAATGTAACACGCTGAATGTGGCTCATTTATCCCTCATATGTGACACAAGTCTGTGATCATGGACATCATTGCATTTATTAAAATACTAATACTTCAGTAATGAATATTATGTATAGCAGTCAGAACATACCTTCGTTTTTTTGGATGCCATTTCTACCACAACTTCACTTTAATCTCTCTATCATTCTTTCATTTCAAATTAATTAAAAATAGCATCGATGTGTAACAAGACTTCTTGACATTATGAGAGACTATTTTGAGAGGCATTATCTAGTGAATTCCATATTACCAGAGATTGAAATATTGGGAATTTTATTTTAGACAGCACCATTTCTGTCATTCAAAATGCTTGATAAGCAATTAAAAATTAATAAAGAGTCAGCGCATCACTAAACATTGCTCACGTGTCTATCGAAGGTGAGCATTTTGGAGAGAAGTGGTGGAATCTGTGTAAATGGATAGTGTGATAATTACAGCACTCGAGTTCTCCCAGTATATCGCGGACTGTATTAAAGTGTGTAGTGCTATTGTGTATATGCTTCTAATCTTTAATGCTTATATTCATACTGTTGATTTGTATTTATCGTTTTCAGTCATTTGTCGTGTATTAATTATATTGTGCATCATCCACAGTTACTCCACATTCCACAGATTGAGCTAATGCTGCTGTGTTCGGCTGGTTGCTTCACATGTAAAAATCATGACCCTATTTAATTAAAAAATACCCAATTTCATTATGTTCTTAAAGTTCATTAAAAGTTCAGGAATGCAATAGCATGATAATCAGATTATGATTAACTCCCGACTATCCTTTGTCCTGTAGAGAACCATGAGCACTGTGGAGGAGGAGCCGGACCACATGATACCATGAAGAGAAGCCTGCAGGTTCTGCCCTACCAGCTGCTGAGTAAGTCTCACGTTAATAAAGCCTTTTAATACTGATAAGCCATTTATAGTCTTTTTTTTAAAGCTCTGTTTCGTCATAGTGGTCGACAAAGCACCCTAATGTCCCAAATAATAAATGAAGAGAAGCCTGCAGGTTCTGCCCCACCAGCTGCTGAGTAAGTCTCACGTTAATAAAGCCTTTTAATACTGATAAGCCATTTATAGTCTTTTTTTAAAGCTCTGTTTCGTCATAGTGGTCGACAAAGCACCCTAATGTCCCAAATAATAATATTAATATACTGTAATTACAAAACATTTTAGGGCTGTAAAAGTTAAGGTAGTAACCAGTGTTATTTTAGTATCATTGATTTACTATTATAATTGTCAATATTTAGAATTAGGATTTATTTGTATATTTTCACTTTAATTTTAGTTAAAGTTGTAATATTTTTGTTATATATTTTTGTCAATTTTATTAGTTTTTGTTTTATTAACATGTCTGTATACTTTTTATTTTTTAATAATTAGCTTTAGTTTAGTTTTAGTTACAATATTACTGTGACATTCTGCATTCGACTGACATTTATTGTGGGAAAAAAAAAAGATATTTCGGTCACACTGTAGTTTGGGGACCAATTCTCACTATTAACTTACTCTTAACTACTACTTTTGCCTCAATAAACTCCTAGGTAGTTGTTAAGTTTAGGTATGGGTAAGATTAAGGGATCTAATATATGGTTATGCAGAATAAGGTATTAATATGTGCTTTAAAAGTACTAATAAACAGCCAATATGCTAGTAACATGCTAATATATTTAAGATTAAATTAGTTAATCGTGAAAATTGGTCCCAAAACTAAAGTGTTACCGATATTTATAGTGAAAAGTGATATAACACATTTGCATTGAATTGAATGTTTCTTTTTAGACTTATACAGCTAACATCAAGGGCCCTATTTTAACGATATAAGCGCATGGTCTAAAGCGCACGGCGCAGGTGCACTCAGGGTGTGTCCGAATCCACTTTTGCTAGTTTAACGACGGGAAAAAGGTCGACGCTCCCGGGCGCATGGTCTAAACGGGTTGTCCCTATTCTCTTGTTGACGCTCCCGGGCGCATGGTCTAAACGGGTTGTCCCTATTCTCTTAATGAGTAATGGGTGTTTTTTGGGCGTAACGTGCAATAAACCAATCAGAGTCTCATCTCCCATCCCCTTTAAATGCCAGTTGCGCTCGCGTCATGGCAGGTTCGCTATTTACATGGTGGAATGTAATTTTTCATTTTTAAAAATGTTTGTGTGCTGCTGCGTGTCCCTGTGTGTGTAATAAGCAAAGTGTACGCCCCATAGGCACACAAATGGGCGCAAATGCATTTGCTATTTAAACAACGCGGTGCAGGACGGGAAAATGAGAACTGTGTCGGGCTGAAACTAGCAAAAACACTTGCGCCGCATTGCGCCGGGTGTATGATGGGGCCCCAATGCTTTTTCTCGCACAGTATAAAAAAGTCTTTATATATGACAATATATAACAGCCGTTATAGTTTCTGTGGATCGTTCAGCATGTTTTTTGTAGTTAAGTTGATTAACCAAGAAGATCTTGATAATTAAACCAGTTTAAAACTGGTGGGGACACCAGTACACCTTCAGCCCATCCCAGCTCTGCTGTCTTGGTCTATTATTTTGTCTCTTTACTCTTGCAGAATATTAGTATTGGCGACACGTGTCTGATATCAGTCTGGCTGAAATCCAACATTAAAGTGTGAAATGCATCAGGAACATGAGGTCGGATGGAGAAGTCTTCTTCCATTGTAGAACAACTTTAAAAAGAGATTTCATCACAGCAAATTCTATATCAACTTGTGGAAAATGGGCATCCTATGACCCCTTTAAGAAAAAAGTCTAAAAGTTTCAGTAAAGAATACTTTTCAGGCTCCAGGTATATTTTAGCCATTCTTTCAAACTAATATCAGTGGAGTTTGTCTGGGGAAAAAATTGTGTTTTCAGTGCTTGGAGAGATTCAGGTCATTTTTCTATGTGAATGTTCAGAGTGTTCCCTTCAGAGCTGAGCCCTGTCTGATCTGAGGCTGTCGGGACACTGAAGTCCACTGTGGTTCTGGTGTCTCTGCAGGTGGCTTTGAATAAGTCCATATATGTGTCACGGGAACGGGTGTGTGGAGGCAGGCAGGATGACGAGGACGACAAGGATTCCAATAATGACATTTATTGTAGACACAACAAGGCAGGTTCAGGTAGGTGAGACACACACTCGGGGTAACATTAACAATAACCGACACCAATGCTCAGACAGACAGGAACTAATATGGGGTGAATAATTAGAGGCAGACAGGTGAGCACAATGACGGTGATTAACTAATGATTAGACGGGCTAAACCAACACAAAGGGAAGAAACCACAACAAACAGTCCACAGGGGTGTTACAATATGTGAACTGTTTGGTAATCGTAAGTGGGATTCCATTACTTCACTTAAAAATGCTTAATAGTGCTTAAATATATACAAAGAATACTTTTTTTAAAGAAAATAATACTTTTATTCAGTAAGGACGCGTTAAATTGATCAAAAATGACAGTAAAAACATTTTTAAAAGATTTCTATTTCAGATAAATGCTGTTTTTTAAGCTTTATATTTATCAAAGTATCCTGAAAAATACAGCACAATTGTTTTCAACATTGTTAATGTTTCTTGAGCACCAAATCAGCATATTAGTATGATTTCTGAAGGATCATTCTGAAGGTTGGGGTAATTGATGCTGAAAATACATAAATAATTCATAATACAGAAACATAAATCTTACAGACCCCAAATTTAGAAGTGTGTATTTATTAATTATGTTAAGATGTTTGTTTTAAAGCTGTGCACACGTAAACATACATTCATGTTATATATGAATATGTAGGAATACTAATTAGATCAGGCTGGAATGTTAAAGTTTTATTGGTTTAGTTGATAATATTTTGTAAATTTAAACATTCTTTATAATTTTGTTGTGCAGTTAGCTCAGCTACTACCCCAAAATATCATAATTAAATTTATCATAATTGTGCTGCATTGAGTCCCTTTGGCATGGCCTGAGGTTAAGAGCTTTTCTCGAGGGCACAGACATGATAGTTCAAAGATTAGCATGTGTGGGGTTTATATATGCAGTTTTAGTTACCAGCTACTTTAACCCGTTATACTCATTGCATTTAAGTTTAACATGTATGAAATTGGCAGGTTCCTACCAAAGCAACTTGCCGCAGAAATGGAAAGGACCTTGCCAAACCTGCCAATTAGCAGGGGAGTCTGCTTGCTTTTTGCCACAAAGTGCGCAAGTTATGTAACAAGAGCAGTTCATGAGTCATAGTTAGTGTTGGAACTAAATAGTACTGATAACAAGCGCAATGTTCTTTGCCTCACCGTCAGTTTGTTTGTGTCTTTCGTGTCTATCTGTTCATCAGCTCATCTGTAGTGATGGCACCATTTGTTTAAAGTAAACTGAATTTAGCTGACGGCTTTCTCATGCAGTTATGGAGTGATTGCTGTTCTCCCTGAAGTGCAGATGGCATTGTGAGCTATTTGAATAAAATAGCTTTTGCCAAATAACATCCTAAATTGGAATTCAAAAGCAATGCTCCTTCAAAAGTCCCAAAGGCAGAATGCTCAAAGCAGCTTTTCAATGCACGGCCATTATTTCATTGTCACAACTATTTTGAGCAGCTGTATAGCCCAGTGACATTACTTATGTGTTAAGAATTTCCTGTTTAAAGTGTTTACTTCCTGTGCAGCCAAAGTCATTTGTTAGTGCCCCTGTAAATGACAGACTTGATGTATTCAGTAAACAAATTGATTCTTTCAGTGTCCAGTGCATCTCGCTCGTCCACCCTCCCGATTGGATAAACATCCGAAAGTTCAGAGGCATTACAGAGGACCAACGCAAACTAAATCACACAAACAGGAAGCCATTATCAGAGGGTGTTATGGTTCTCGCCTTATCTATGAGCTCACATCTGCACCACCCTGCCCCTCCCTCAACACAGGAAGTGCCCAAAGCGCCCCACAATCCCCTGGGGTAACGATCCCTAGCTTTAAAGGCCGCGACTCCCAAAGAGACACCAGTGGAATTTATTCATTGGTTGGATTAATTGTTTTGGTTTTGTTCACATTTATAGCTTAAAATAATCCTTTGTGTGACTGTCAAAGAGAGATTTTATTTAGCGTCTCACACTGTTAGCATGTCAACAGCTAAAATGTGGAAAACAGGAGACTTTGGCAGCTTTTTTTTTTTTAGCCATAGAGATTTTCATCAAGAGATATTTTGTAGATTTAGATAATATTGTCTCCGTTTAAACATGGTATTCCAATAAAACCTGATATGATCACAAGTGGTCAACAGATTGCCATTTAAAGTACATCTAATTTACATGCATCTCAAATGTGTTTTGTCAATATATCAGTGTGGTACAGATCCTAATATCAAAATATCAAAACTTTACTAAAAGGCTACAATTCCGGGGAGAAAAAAAAAAATTTTTAAAAACATCTTTTATCATTATTTATTAGGGAAAAAAGTGCAGTGAAGCAGTTTAGGTTTGTTTTGAAACACTTTTGTCCACCCATCATGCAGAAACATGCAGCTAAAAAAAACAAAAAACAAAACAACATTTTTTGTTTTTAATATTCTCTTAAAATATCAGTTCATTTGGCAAGGTACAGTTTGTTCAGGTTGTAAAATGTCAAAATGATTGATAGTGATATAGATAATGGTATTTATGAATAAATAATTCATGATATTTGTTTATCATGAAAACTTTTTTATTATTATATTTTGAAGTGTCTTATGCTCACCAAGGCTGCATTTATTTAATCAAAAATACAGTAAAAATTATAATATTGTGAAATAGTATTGTTATACTTTAATTTATTTTATAATGTAATTATAAAAATTTAGATTTTTTGGAATTCTTTGATAAATAGAAAGTTAAAAAGAACAGCATCTATTTGAAATCGAAATCCTTTATAAC